TGATAGCTCGTATAAAATGAAGTTTTGATATAATAAATCAATATTTTTTAATTGAGGTGTTCTCTTAAGTATTTATTAAAGTATACATTATGATATATTATAGTAGAAACGGTTCTTTTTATGTTGTTTTGATTTCAACAATTCAAGCCTAAAGCTCATATAAATCTGCTACGAATACCGCCCATCAAATGACTGAAATGAATTAAATAAACTGATAATTTCCACCGTCACTTCTTCCTGATAAATCCAAAACACCAGAATAACTTTTTAGCAAGGAAGGATGACATACTGCGTCATGCAGACACACCAGTTCAAGGCCAAGTGGTACGTGAGGGATTTGGATCGGTTCATGCCTTTGGTTGCAACTCTCTATACCTTGCTAAGAAAACAGATATACACTATTCTTTAGGAATCTGGCTTTATTTTCGGAGGGAACAGATATACAATTATAAGTTGATTGTATATTTCCTATTTGAGTTAGCTGGAATTAGTTTCCTATTTATTCTTGGTTTTTTTCTTTTAAGTAGCTGGTTAGAGTATGCCTATATGAAGCGCATATATCATGCTTAAAAAATATACTAATTATCTTAATTTTGAGTTGACATTCCCGATGCCGACAAATAAGTTTAGTGTTATGCTTTATTGTATATATTTTTTAAAAGTATTATCTCATTGACTGATTTTATTATTCAGATTAAGAATTATCTTCACAACATAACGAGCCTTGTTGAAATAGATATACTAATTGGGAAAAAAAGGATGCTGGAATATCCACATAGACAGTTGGCCCAAGTAAAGAAATTCAACATGTCACAACCATAGAAACTTCATAATTAGTAAATGTTGAAAATAATAACTTCAGTCTATTGCATCAGCCTTATACTTATACACCTTTCAACCACGAAACATATAGTTACCATAACAATTTACTGTCAATGTTTAAGTGGGCTGTAATTCTTGGTCTCCGATTCCTACTTTAGTTTGGATCATAAACCATAGTAAACAATGAACAAACACGATTGCCTTCGACCATTGTACCCGAATAGCTCGGCTGTTATTTTTCTACTACATGGATTGAATACAATGGAAAATCCAAACCATGATGTAAGGTATTTTAAAATTGGTATCTACTGCATATTAATGTGCTGATAACAATGGTGATGGGAATTAAAACGAGACTGTGTTGATGAGATAACCTTACACTCTTGTAAAGTAACTACTTTTTTTCTAAAATGTAAGATTTTGTTAGAATCACGCTCTTGCTATATGGTACACGCGTGACTCATCCTAGTTTTTCGATAGGCTTTAATAACTGACATGTGACTGTTTGAGTCATCTTTATTATCCTAATAACCATTCACAGGAAATTATGACCTTGGATACCATACCATACCTCTTAAATTTATGTCCTTGTAATTCTACGCTTATACATGTCATGTGTGCTTGTCTGTGTCGTGTACTCTTTTATTTTACCCAATACTTGTCTCGTTGCTGCAATATGCATTTTCTATTTTGAGTCATATTAAAGCTAGTAGTGAGTAATATTTGCAGTAATATTGTCTCTACAAATAACACTAGTGTACAATGGTCGAAATTGCATAAAAATATCAGTTTTTCTCAGAATTGTAGATACACTTTGATTATTAGTGGTAAATGTTATGTAAAGAAGATTCACTGCAACCAAGACATTATCTCCCACCATTTAACTTGAAATTAATTACTACTCATTACAGGCAACAATTGATTTCTTCGATTAACGTTTACTGTAGAACAACACAATCTGTAAACAATGTTTAAAATATCCTGCATTCGAGCATATCTGTTGGATAATAGAAGACTTCTCGTTTTATTTCATTGTGTTACTTAGTGATTAAAAGCATAAAGCAAACAACATCGTACTCTACATTGAATTAATTCATACCATTTTAGTTTCCATCCTCTGAAATTACTTCATCGATTTTTTTCATTATTTTAGGACTATATTTGATTTCATACACATAGTTCCCTTTATCATTTTGAAAAGTCCGCATCAAAAGTGTTCATACATCAATAGATAACCAAATCATGACTGCATTTAGATAAATTGGACACCACCACACACATATACACATAAAAAAAAGGATTTTGCTATCTTGGTGTTGCATATATTTTATAATAAAAAAGGAAACGTTTACCCTTTTTCAATATTGTTTACTATCTAAACCTGTTCAACTAAAATAATTTGATGTTACACCTTCTAGTACAAGAACTTCCTGACCGTTTCAAGTAATATTTTACAATGAGTATAGATACATATATTTTCAAAATTTTTTGTATAAGTGTAACCATTAACCAATTTGAAGAGGTTCATCGAGAAGAAAACTATAACACGTTATTGTTTATTGTAAGTCCATCAAAATAATAATAATAATAATACGTTCTTCAAACGAATTTCTGGTGTACATTAAATACATTCCTCTTTTTGTTATTAAAACGGTAAAATTACTGTTTCCCTTTTTCTATGCGCTATGTATAAAAAACTATCAATCGACATATAAGTATTTCTTCAAAGAACTATTCCTAATGCCTAGTAAGAAATATATATACATAAATAATTCACAAACTAGTTTGTTTATTACTGCTAATATTTAATGTATTCTCTGATACATTGCATAATTGTGTACTTGATATGGTTTGCTTTTCTAATAATTACGCATAGCGACCTGCTTAAACCGCCGATTTATCTATTTTTCTACTGTGATGTTAAAATAGCCTTTGATGTTTTTGTCAAATTTTGTATGAAAACCGCATGGTACTCATGAATCTATATTATTTAACACAAATCATCGTTAATGATCTTTCTAATTTAATAAAAAGAGAACTATGAATATAAAATAATTTTATTTATTATTCACATAAGTGTTTGGGTTTTTTACGTTGATTATATTAATGATTGAATTTTCAATAGGTCTTTTTTAAGATATTTGAAGAAGTAGAACATTCTTAAGTACGAAATGTAGTTAAATGTTTTATATTTTACATTTCGGTGGAGTTAGTAATGAACATTTGGTCTTTTGTGGTCTCATCAGATGAATGTACTGAAATCTAAGTGTTGATATTTGTACTGATGATAGAATTTATTCACTGCTACTCTAAACAAAAAAGCATTTACTTGTCTAGTTAGTGTGATGTTAATTATTCGAATGGGTTTTATTTTTCTGTTATTGTATAGTGGTAGACACGGTATTTAGATTTTATCATGAACATTACTATTAAGATCCAAGTAAATCCATCTGATGAGTTAGAAAAAGAATGAAACTTACGCCATGAATTTAATTGCCAGCTATGATCCAAAAATAGAGTTGTTTAATCTGTAAATTATTCTTACATTTTTTACTGAATATTCGTAGCACGATTCATGTTCATTGTGAGTCAGTCAAATGACCTACTCAGTATTTGGCTAAATTAGTTACTTGGAGTATTTCGTAACTAGGAGACTGAAAAACAATCATTATTGTATGTATACGTTTGCTGGGTATGTAGCTCATAATACAAAATGTAGAACCTTAGTATGAAGCTTCATGTGTTCTAATAGAGTAATCTTAGGAAATACCAGTATAAACACAATACCTTGCTTATTGATTCTACATGTGCGATAAGAAACCATTAGCTTCAATTTCGGCACACTAGAGATACAACAACCCATTATCCTCTTCCTAATCCCGGCTAACCCAAAAACCATTCTTGATCTGAAAGTCACGTTAAAGACTAAATAAAGTTGATTTAAACAAGCAGTGGTTATGTATGGAATAACTACTATATCAATGATTACCAGTGCAATATTTAAAGTATTCATGGAGAGACTACTTAGTAACCGAAAATCTCTGTAATTGCGGGAAAAGAGATTTCGCGTGTGTGAAATTTCTCATTCATAATTTTACTTACAAAATTAGTTTAACATATTTAAGTAAGCATTGAGATATATACATGAGATAACTTTCAATTAGAACTTCAGGCTTGTTACCGACATTGTACTTGGGCAATATTTCATTAACCTAGCGTAACAGCAATTGAGATAATATAAGTTAACTATACAACAACTCAATGTTAGCGTAGTTAATAAATGACATATTTTTTTAAGTCGGTAGATAGTGATGAGGATTAGAGGCTAAAACTAGATGACAACCGCATTTCCAGACCATAAACCTTTGTTATTTAATGTTTTTCAACAAACAGATTTAAAAATATAAAATACGTCTCACTCAGTTAAACTATAGATAAGATCCTAGTTTTAACAGTGTTTTTGTTGGAAACATGATTGATATCATTTTCCAACCTGATATAAACGTATCTCCAGGGAACAACTATGAATATGATGTCAAATTTGTGCCCACGCTCATAGATTAACGGCCTTAAAGTAGAATATCTTTAAATTAAAGAAATATTCACTATATTGTCTATCAATGTTGAAGAAAATTTGAATAAACCTCATTCAGGAACGTCAGATTTTGAGGTCACATGACTACTTAGGATAATGTTTACAAATGTATTTTTAGACCTATGATCAAATACAAACGTATACAATAAAATAATTCATCCTAGTTTATATTCACGCCTCATTACTGGATGAAGTTACTTAAACTATTAGAAATGCACACGACAATCCATCAACTCGAGGATATCCCATGGAACTTTTTTTAAGCATAGTATAACATGTAAAGCGAAACAACCGAAGTAATAACTAGAAAAAAAATCCGTGTTAAACGAAAAGGTCAAAGAATTACAATTCGGTTGGGAGCGAAGGTTTTCTTTTGTTTTAACTTATACAACCACATTAAAATAAATTTTAATTGAACATTGACTTGAAATGTTTTCTCCTGGTAGATCCGGTATGTTTTATTCTATATCTTGTTCAGTTTACTGTCGTTGCTAAGAAAATGTATGGGCGGTTAAATAATTTCAATGATGATATGTAGAAACGATTAGAAATACACAAGTAAACATACAAATAATAATTTCTTTTAAGTATTCGGTGTTTTAAACAATAGAAATACACGTGGTCCATGACGGAAACAAAATGAATAACCTGGTTGATAAGAATAGAATGATGAATATTGACCTCGTACAATTACACAATGCCATAAACGTTTATAATGCTTGTCCAAACGTAATTTGATCCATTTAACTAGTTCCTGAAGAAAAATTCAAAATAAAATTAGGGATCTACCGAAACAATTTGATTGTGGATCATAATAACTGAAATTTTACAAATGAGTGAGATTTATGAAACGTTTATGGTACAGACAAGGATTTAATCTAAGTCGATGAGTTTTTAATTAGATTTATTGTCACCTATCCATGCATTGATTGATTATTGATTTATGATTATATACATGATTGATAAGTTATTTGACAAGCATAGGTACGTCACAGATTTTTTACTAACGTTAGTGGGTGAAAGTAGAACTGTCCCAAGACATTTAAAGCTCAACTGCTATTGTAAAACTTTTTTACATATTTTGTTTCGAACCTTAAAAGTCAAAATGTTGTGTATGACTGATCTATTGCAGTAGCTCCCCTAAATGTATTTAAAAAAATTGATTGATATTGATGTTATCAAATGATGATATTGTATGTTTGGTTAATAGGTAAGAGTTTCACTTAAATGTGATGTATTTTATTGATGTATCACTGAGAAGTAGAAAGTGCGATATTATTATAATCATTTCTTTGAGCCAACTGAATTCCAGATGTCAGATGTGACCTACTTCAGCTCAATGAGGGATTTCTCTGACTAACACAAGGTGAAGATAGGGGCTTTTATTTGTTTAAGGTAGTGAATATTTTATTTTGAATACAAATGTCAAGACAGTTCTACTGTATGGGGTAGGTTCCAAGAACAACTGAGGTCAAAATTAGGTAGTTCTGAAAACGAGACTGACACAGATGTTGCTTGGCAAAATATACAATCAGCTCTAGAAACAGCAGTGACATCTATTGGCGATTTAAACCAAAGGGTTATAAAGAACCGATGGATTTCTTCAACGTCTATTGCACTGATGGATTCTCGTAAACTCATCCCATCAGGATCTGAACACGATGAAGAGAGGAAACAAATCAGATCTAGGTTGAGCAAAAGTCTATGGAACGACCGTGAGCAATGGTGGGCAACAAAAACAAACGAGATGGAAAAGGCGGCCGCTATAGGTAACACCAGACAGCTCTTCAGACTCATAAAAGTAACTGGAACTAAAAAGTCAAGCGTAAGTGAGACTATCTCGGAAAAAGACGACACTCTTATCTGCTCCCAGTCCAGACGCTGAGAACGATGGGCGGAACACTTTAAGCAGCAGTTCAGCTGGCCTTCAGCTACTATACAACTACCCACCATCCACAGACAGTGTGAATGGAACATTGAAGTAGATCCCCCGAATCTTGTTGAAGTTCAAAAGGCTATAGTTAATCTGAAACGAGGAAGAGCAGCTGGTCCAGATGGATTCGCTCCAGAGGTCTTTAAGGATGGTGGTCTAATTTTAGCGATCGTTAGCAATCGTTTATTGTCCCAATACATAATAAGGGGTCAAAATCACCCTGTGACAACCATAGAGGGATTAGTTTGACTAATATTGCATCTAAAATACTAGCCTCAATAATTATCGGGCGCCTAACTAAGACTCGTGAACTGCAAACACAAGAGAATCAAGCTGGCTTCAGACCTGGTCGTGGTTGCATCGACCACATATTCACCATTCGTCAGATTCTAGAACACAGGCATACTTATCAGCGTCCGACAATGGTGGTCTTCCTTGTCTTAAAAGCAGCGTTTGACTCTGTAGATCGAGAGGTTCTGTGGCAGTGTCTGTCATTGAAACGTGTACCTCAGAGGTACATAAACCTTGTGAAGGCTCTTTACTCGAACACTACTAGTCGAGTTAGAGTTTATGGCAAACTGTCATCTGCTTTTGCAACCTCAAGTGGTGTCCGTCAAGGCTGTCCACTTTCTTCATTTTTGTTTAACTTCATCATAGATCTACTGATGGAAATAACGCTCTCATCGACTGAATTCTCGGGCATTGATCTTGTTGTGTGGGCGAGAACGATCGTGATTGGTTGTCTGCTTAGTCAGACATGTAGACAGTCTGACAGGTGTCAGATAAGTTATATATTCTCTTACCCTTATTATTGTGACACACTCACTCACTCATTCTTATTTACATTATTATTGATTGTTCATTGTTGTGGATTGTGTCGGGTTTTTGAGTGTGAAATATATTACGTTCTGGTCAGGCTGATTACGTGTTCTTGATCTGAGTTGTGTTGAAGTCCTGTAGGATAGACACTGGGAGGGATCTAGTGTAGATAATCGTTAAGCGTTACAACATTAGACAAAGTAATACCGAGCGTTATAACAATCGACGACGGAACGTTATAACAATTGGCGACGGGTTAAAAAAATAACGAACCTAAAGTACAAACCACAAGTTATAACAAGTGCCCACAGTGATTAAAACGGATCTACGTCTACATAATCAGTTAAAGTGGATTTTATAATAAAATGGATGATCTGAAAATCTTATTGCAACAGCAAAATTCTCTTATCGAATTATTGGTGAAAAATATGTCAATATCATCAAGAACCAATGTTTCTAATCCCACTATGACTCCGGATTCTATTGCGAACTCAATAGATGAATTTAGATTTGATCCAGAATGTGGAATTACTTTTGAAGCATGATTTAAACGCCATGAGGATTTATTTATTAATGATTGTAAAGAGTGGGATGAAGGCTCAAAATTGAGATTATTATTACGTAAGCTCGGAGTTTCGGAACACCAAAAGTTCTGTAATTTTATCCTTCCAAAAAGCCAACCGACACAACCTTCACAGAAACAGTAGAGTGCCTGACACGCATATTTGGTGAACGATCTTCAGTTTTTCATACTAGATTCCAGTGTCTTCAGCTTGTAAAAAAAACCTCAGGACGATTACATGACATATGCAAGCATTGTGAACCGGGAATGTGAACGGTTCCGTTTACAAGAAATGTCATCAGATCAATTCAAATGCCTTATTTTCGTATGTGGGTTACAATCTGCCGCAGATGCAGATGTTAGAACACGTATTTTAACGCGAATTGAACGAGATCCTAATATTAGTCTGCAATTAGTATCTGAAGAATGCCAAAGAATGGTTAATCTGAAGCATGACACCAGTCTAGTAGAAAAGAACAATGAACATGTGGAAGTTAAAACCTTGCAGAAAGCTTTAATGGAAACAAGGATCAGTACTCTTACCAAAGTCCAAAGCAAACGAAACCCAAAATGTGTTGTTGGCGGTGTGGTAATCGTCATTCTCATAATGTTTGTTATTTTAAAAAAAGAGTTTGTTTTCGATGTGGTAGATACGGTCATGCTCAAGTATGTTGTAAAAGGAAACAAAAGATTGTCGATCATCAGAGTAAGGCTCGTAAAGGAAATAAGACGCAGACACCGAAAGAAATCCCACATAATTCGAGTGTCATTCTGACCACAAAAAGCGCTCATTTTTCATCTAAAAGGAAATATGTAACTCTATTTTTCTATGGTCAACCTATTAAGCTGCAAGTTGATATGGGGTCCGATATAACATTAATTTCTAGAAAGACGTGGATAAATCTTGGTCGACCTCGATATCATCCTAAATTTTACAACGCTAAGAGTGCAACACGAACAAATATTACTCTTCTTGGTGAAATGCAGCTACCTCTCACATTAGGTGACAAGACTATGACTGGGAAATGTTATGTGTCTGGGAATTGTCATACCAACTTACTAGGTATTGACTGGATAGATAAACTTGGTTTATGGGATTTAGCGTTGAGCACTATTTGCAATATGATTAATTCACCAGTACCTAAATCGTTGTCAAGGTTAATTGCTAATAACCGTAAGTTAGAGGAAGATAGCGTGGTTGCTTCTATATCAATTGGACCGGAAATAAAACGAGTGTTCTGTGATGCTATTAGAATCCTACCAGTAACGGCGGAAGCGGTTAAAGAAGCTACGGCTAGTGATCCTCTACTCAAAAGAATAAAAGGAGCTGTTTTAAATGGTTGGAAAGAGGATAAGGCTGATCGAGAATTTCACCAATTTTTTCTGAGACGTGAGTCTATATCGATTTATGATAATTGTTTAATGTTTGGCGATCGTGTTGTTATCCCTAAATCTCTTCAGTTTTTTGTGCTTAGACAGTTTCACATTGGTCATCCGGGAATGAACAGAATGAAAGCAATTATGCGTAGTTATGTCTATTGGCCATTCATGGATAAGGCTGTGGAAGAACACGTATTGAGATGTCCTCGATGTGCCGAAGGTGTAAAAGATCCACCGAAAGTAGAATCCCAGCCATGGCCAGAAACGAAAACGCCTTGGGTTCGACTACACGTCGATTATGCTGGACCAATAAATGGACACTATTTTTTGGTGGTGGTAGATTCATACTCAAAATGGCCTGAAATTTATGTTGTGCGAAGACCTTCTACGTCTGAAACACTGTTACATCTCAGACAACTATTTGGTAGGTTTGGGACACCTAATGATTTGGTTTCAGATAACGGGACGCAGTTCACGTCGTCACAGTTTGCGGAGTTCTGTAAACAAAATGGAATCGAACACATTAGAACTCCACCGTATCACCCTCAGTCAAACGGACAAGCAGAAAAATTTGTTGATATTTTGAAACGAGCTCTCTTAAAGATGGGAGGAGAAGATAATGTAGAAGAGGCTCTGCAACAGTTTCTAATTTCTTATAGAATCACACCGAGTTCAAACTGTCAAGACGGGAAATCACCAGCCGAAATAATGTTTGGCCGACCAATTAGAACATTGTTGAATGTTTTGAATCCGAAAGACAAAGTGTATGGACTACAAAAAAATAAGGAAGGGAATTATCCGAAGATTCGAGAGTTTAAAGTAGGTGACTTAGTTTATGCACGTGACTTCCGGCCTGGAAAGCCGAGATGGATATTTGGATGTATTAAAAAAAGACGTGGGACAGTATTGTATGAGGTTATGGTTGAAAATACACTAATTATCAGACATATCAATCAACTGAGAGACAGAAGAAATGTTTATGAGTCACCTAAAGTCAAATCTTTACCAATCGAAGTATTATGTGATACTTTTAATATTCCACCACCACCACAAGTTGAAA